AATAATAGGTCTGGCCGAATCAAGGGATTAACTTTTTTCCCTAATTCGAACCAGCCTTTCTCTCTTTTCTCTCTTCTCTCTTTTCTTCTTTCCTCTCCTACTTCTTGYTGTCTACTTTACTCTACAGTCAACGAACAAGACAGAATTCTATGGCAGGTCAAACTTCAACAATAAGTTATTCTACTATTTGTTATTTTTTATGATTCTACTGATTTTTTGTAAGTTGAATATGTACAAATGACAAGGCTGCTGCTTTAGCAAAGTGCATTCTGAACCTTGGCATGTCTATGAGACTTAAAATACACTAGGAGGTTCTGGAGGCTTTGCAAGGTAATATATATTTGAATGGAAATGGTAACTTTCTTTATACTTAATAGTTAATCATGTACACTGTCAACCATTCAGAATATGAATGATAGCGGCTTCCCTTGCTAGGTAGAGTATTTCCCTCATTTGTTGTCTAAGAGTCCATCACCCAAACTTTTTGTCTGCAGATCCTTTACTAGTTTAGAGTCTCCTTCTACCTCAAAATTCTGAAAGCCCCATTGCTTCACCAGCCTTAATCCTTGTAGTAGGGCCAACAATTCAGCCCTCAAAGAATCTCCTTCACCTATGGGGCCAGAGTATAGTGCTAACAGCTTACCCTCCCCATCTCTGGAGACTCCCCCAGCTCCAGAAGGTCCTGGATTACCCAAAGAGCTTCCATCAAAATTCAATTTCACCCTTTGTTGTGCTGTAGGTACCCAATAAGTACTTTAGCATACATTGTTAAGTAGTTATGTCATGGTAAGGGTACTTTAGTACCTTTGTATCTCTTTCTCATAAGCAATAAGTGAAGTTAGTAAGGGGGATGCCCCTATGACTTTTTTTCTCCAATTTCTCTTGTTCTCTCGAGGCTCTTCCTTTTCTCTCTCTCTCCCTCTCTTTCTCTCTCTCTCTCTCTCTCTAACAGGAATCCTACTTTCGTTTTTCTAAGAGAAGGATGTACAAAAAGAAACCCCAAAAATTACGTAGGTAAAGTACTTGCACTACACAAAATTTCTATCCACCTCTGGTATTTAACACAAATATGGTTTTTATATTGGGTTGAAAATTTATAGGAGCAATATTAACAAAACTAGGGTTCCTATGTAAATATGAACTTTTCTTGTTTGGATGTTATATCATGGCAGCCTAGGTCAGTGATAACTGATGCTGGTAATAGGATTGTTGTATTTATCAAAGGGAAATCTTTGGTCTACTTGCATTTTCAGTTGCACTGTACAGGTCAGATACATTGAACTTGCCTTGAGTAGAGTGTGCACTTCCAAGTGAGTTTGTCTTAAGTTAATCTGTGCAGATACCATCTTTTGGACATAGCCTTGATGAAGTTAGGTGAGTATTAAGATTATTTGAGGGAAAATGTAATTTTGGCTTGAAATTTTATCTCATCAACCTACAAATAATTTGCAACAAAAAATAACATGCAGCGGTTTTCTGCATAATGCTTTGGAGCTTGTAAATTGCCAACTGTGACATCCATGAGTCAGGAATAAATCTTCTCATGGACTTCTACCTAAACCTTCCTGTGGTAGTTCCAGATATTTGTTTTTAATTGGCCTTCAATTAGATTACCATGTAACCGTGCAGGTTATCTCAATGTTGAAAGAGAGGCTTGGAGTAAAGAAGGAGAAGAAACTATCAATGGTTGATTATAGGTAATCAAACTTGTTTAGAGGTCATCAAGGATGCATTGACAGCTTTAACATTGCATCTGATGAATGCTTCCATTTATTCTGACAACCATGGTAAACTGCTTGTTTTTATAATGTGCATTAAACTGGCATGCAAAATCTTTTATTTGATATATCTATAAAAAATCCTTTATTTAATATATCAATTAATAGCTTGATCCATGTTTTTACAGTTGATAAGGGAAGAGGACTTTCTTCTTAATTCTTTAGTAAATTCCAGGTTTTGGGCATCTTCTTGCTATGCAGTTCTGCAATGCATATTTTTACTTTGGGCTGTCATAAATTTGATTTTTTTGGTCCTGCATTATTCCCTACAGAATCTCATTTTGCATAATTAGGGCTTGGGAATCTGTGAGGTTAATGACTGCATGAGTTGTGAAATATGCTTCCTTATGAAAAGGATTAAAAATTTCATGCTAGCAATTTGCTATTTTATAGATGTAAACCTTGTTTTTTTCGAATACTGTATTAATGTTATTGTACTGCAAATAAATGGAATTATATAGGTTTTGATACTATTTTCAGAAAACATAGGTGGTAGCTTATTTCTCAAGTATTGATTGCACTCTCTAAATTTTAACTCTCAATTTGCCTGGATATTTTTAATTAATGAAGTTGCTTATATTAAAGAGTGAGAATGCTGACAGCATTCCATTTGTTCTACTGCAACTACAGGAAATATTCCAGAGTCAGAAATTGGACTCTTGGCTTGTCAGGAGGTAAAGACCAAATAGCGGTGATCAGAGCCTCTGGAAGCATTATTCGTGTTCGTAGTCCATTAAGTCTTCCCAGTTCGGGTATCATTGCTGAGCAGTTTATTGAGAAAGTCCGTAGTGTAAGAGGTAGGAATAAACCTTTGTATACATTGTCTTTTATGTATTGCTTAGCTTTTCTGATCAAAGAATCAAATATTAAACAAAGAAAGCATAGATCACCAACTGCATTGCAGTTTCCTACCCAAATAACTTCACATGCCTAGCTTACTGGTGTTGGATGTGATACTGAATACTACATCAATACTTCTGGATTAACTTTAGTATTCACACTTTTAAAATGGTATGTTTTAACAAATTATAAATTTTGTTTGATTAATAACTGTACAAATTAAACTATAATCTGCACATGTTAGAAATTTAATAATTTAATTAAATTTGGAAAGCCACAAGTCTTGAGATATGAAAATATATCTTCCAAAATCAGATTCTCATATCCACATACATGTCCCAGATTTTAGTAAATGGAGAGTCATGTTCCCATTTCCCGTGTCTGTATCTATATCTGGACATCATAGGTTTTGCCATATCAAAGTAGTTTTTTTCTTGGGAAAGTAATTTCAGTGGAATAAGAGGGATTACAAATGTATACAAGAACAAGAACAAGAACAAGAACAAGAACAAGAACAAGAACAAGAACAAGAACAAGAACAACGTAGGGATTACAAGATGGGGAGTAAAAGGGCAAGGGGAGGGTCAGAGTGGAGATGGGTTCAGATGAATAAAAGAAAAATTTGGAATCCATCCTCTAGGCTCTAACAGAAGATATTATCTTGTATAGAGTGGAGGGAGGACTCAGCTGAGCATACATAGTAAGGTGATGATGATGATGAAAAAAAAGTATAAATCTCCATCTGATTCAAAAGAAATCTACCTATGAAAAAAAAAGAAAGAAAAAAGTCCAAGGCCAATTGTTGGTTGGGTGTCTACAGTCTGCCATCTTTTGTGCGTGAAAGGCCATCGATTTTTCTTTCTTTTGTTGTTCATTGCTTTGAGCTTAATTGTTCTTAAAAATGGTTTTATTTCCTCATGATGCTATATATTTAATAGCCATTCTATACTATTTTCTGAGATTTTACTCCCTCAACAACTGTACTTATTTTATGGAAGCATATATTTTTCTTCTTCAGTTAATTGTTACCATGGTATGTTTACAGACCAAGGTCTAAGGAGACATATACAAAGAGAACAGTTTATATGTTGCAACACTAACTGAAGTAGGGAAGGAATTCCCTACCCCCACCCCCAAGCAACTTCAACAAGAAAAATAATGAGTTGCATTGGAGAAAAATCAACAATATTAATATGTATTATTGATGTAATCTTAGTTATGTGTTGCAGGGGCACTTTTGTCCTTTTATCTTTTATTTTTTATTTTGTCGCCCTAACATATAAATACAAACACTGGCACCGCCAGCTTGAGTTTTTGGTCTCAATTTTCATGCCTCTTCCTTCTCTCCTCTCTTCTTCTTCCTTTCTTCTTCTTCTCCTCCTCTCTTCTCTTGATCGAGATCATTCTTCCTTGCTGAAATCAATTATAAAATTGAAAAGGAAGTAAACTTATAAAAATTATTTTAGTCGTGGTAAAGGAAATGGTCTATGGAGGTAGATTTATCTTCCACCATTGCACTTTATCAAGAAGCTTGAAGAGCATCTTATGACTAAATGTTAGATTACTGTTTTGATGGCAGATTAATTTTGACCTTAAAAGCTGTAGGAAATGATCAATCTGATCAATTTTTATAGGGTTATTTCGATGTATATGCATCAAAGAGAATGATAGCAGTTACTTTTGGGTAATGCAGATTTGGTTGGTTAAGGAAATAATTAAAATCCAGTACTCTCCAAGGATAGTATACTCTTTTTTTGCTCCAGCCAGCAAACATGGAACTGTGGGAATATTATTGGATTATCAATTTTTCTATGCTTGTATCTTTTCTTTCCCTATAATTTATTGTCATTTTCATGTGAATTTGTGGCTGAATTTGTCTCACCTAGGCAACTTATTGTAACCTCTTTTGCTGGCTTATTAATGTAGGTGCTCCTTAAGAATAAAATCTTTTCCTTGATATTTTAGTTTGTTTTCAGAGTCAAAAAGATATAAAGCTGTGATCATACGGATTGACAGCCCTGGAGGTGATGCTCTTGCTTCTGATTTGTAAGTGTCACCATAGCATAATATTCAGTTCTGGTGAAGTTTCAGTTTATATGTTGAATTGGATGAATAATCTGTAAAGAAACATTTTTTTTTCAAGTAAAGGTGGCTTATAGTATATTTATTTATACCATTCTTTTTGATGGGTTATCTCTTTGTCAATTCCCAAAATTTATGGATATCTGTCTTTGGCAAATTATATTTAGGCCAATACTTAGGAACATAACATTTTTTCCAAGTTCCAACTTGAACTAGTATCTCTTTGAAACATCCTTCCAATTAACTCTTACCGTCATGTTTGCCTTTCCTCCAGAACCTTAAAAGCCAGCTGTTATGTTCTGTTGATTATCTCTTTGGGTAGTAGCATGAACTTTGCATTTGTTGGAGACTTGGAGTATTCAGTTTGTATGGGGAAGGGTTATTTTAGGAAGACAATATATAGAATATAGTCAGGGACTTTAATGTCATAGCGTCTCCATTGGGATTTTCTTGTAATTTGGGATAATTTTAATATTATATAAAAGGTTTCTCAGGGGCTTTAATGTCATAGTGGCTCCATTGGGGTTTTCTTGTAACTTTGGATAATTTTAATATTATATAAAAGGTCTCTCTCATTATAGATATTTTCTGTCCTTGCTATCTCTTCTCTTCTCCCTTATTTCTCATTATTTGTAAAAAAAGTATTCAATAAATGTTGTGCTGTGGAAATATCTTTCTGAAACAAGATTTTAAAATAGGTAGAGCTTAATACTAAAATAGAATATATGAAATTTAAATTTAATAACAATAACATTTTTGATACTTTGCAGAAGAAAATGCATAATTGGTATTTCTCACCTCATAAATGTTTTCTGTGTGAAGCAAGTGGGAAACTACATTCCATCTGCTAATCTCCTATCCCTTTACCTCCAGTATTTGGGATTGATTTCTAACTTTCTTTGGTCGTAGGTGGACTCCTCCAGGAGATGTGAGAATTGTCATTTTGACTTCCTTTTTTTATCCACCCAGTAGAAGAGGTAAGATATTGTGGATCTGCCTGAGGGCCACAATCATTTGGTCAATATGGGGGGAAAGAAATATAAGAATCTTTAATGAGAAGAAGAGGTCAAAAGGAGAGGTCATATTATAGGATATCTCCATCAGAGTGGTGAATTGGGTCAATAGATTGGATGTTTTTGTGCCTTATTTGAAGGAAGACATTTTTATAGGATGGCAGAATGCAGCTCAATCACCTATGAGGATCACTATTCAAAGGGAGTGGAGTCCATCAATGTTGAGTCAGATTAAACTAAATCTTAATGGGCACAACATGGGGAGTCCAGGAATTTAAGGGATTGGAGGGGTATTTAGAGATGGTCAATGATGGTAATAGCAATGTTTTCAGGGTCCATTAGAGTTGGTGGTTCTATAAAGGCAGAACTGCTAGCAGTTTTGTATGGACTAAGGACAGGCAAAAGGCTGAACATGAAAATTTTAGTGTGTGGAACAAGATTCCAGGACCATAGCGGGTTTGCTAAAAAATGATGAACTAGGAGGTATTATAGACAAGGCTCAAAGTATCGATACATCTGATACTCATGAATGTGTGTATCATGCATTTATGGTGACTGATACACTATTTTTTTGATACATTTACAGGGGGCTTTTAATAGTTTTATTTAATGTTTTAAAACATAAAAAATTTAAAAATTCTTAATATTAAGCATTTTGATGACCCCCCAAAACAATATGATACGCCTGATATGGGGCGTACCGTATCGATTCTTTGAACCTTGACTATAGACATTTGTTGAGAGAAACCAAGAAAATAGCAAGGGAGATAGTGATTGCAAGTAACTGGGTGCATGATTCAGCAGATTGTTGGGCTGATTTACTTGTAAAATGGGGCAAAGAGAGGAGTTCAATGTATTGGGGGGTAGCAAATGAGAGCTATTTGTAAAAGCTATAAACTAGAAAGAGTAAAGGTGGGTAGGTGGGGAAAACCAGCCTTACAATGGGATCCAAAATATTGTACATAAAATTCTTTATTCATAATTAATGAAGTTTATTGTTATCAATCAAAAAAATTAATAATAATATGAGAAAAATCACAGTACACTTTTTTTTTTCTTTTATACCAATAACTGAAAATTTTCATTAAATTTATAAAAAGATTACAAGGAACACATGAAAGGAGATAAAACAGCTTATCTCCAATAACAAGATTTTACATCTGAGCCCAAAACATTTGAGTCTTCTCAACCCCTTGTTTTGCCATAGAATCAGCCATGCTGTTAGCTGTCCTTTGCGCCCATTGATTTTAATATCCATTCCCCCGGTTATCCATTTAAACCTTTTGAACTCATTGTTGTATATCTACAAATCATTCCCTTTGTTTAATTAATAGCCACTTTGCTCACCATTTTGAATCTCTTTCAATGATCAATTTATGCAAGTTCAGCTCCTTTGCTCTAGTTACACCTTCCAAAACTGTCAACACGTCAGCCTTCAGGATACACTTAGGATTGAAGGCCAAGAGATATCTCAATGTTACCTTTCTGGAGTCTTATGTGATCAAAGAATACTGCTGCAACTTATGTGATCAAAGAATACTGCTGCTCAAAGGCTAAAGGTGAAATTTTATAAAATAGTTATAAGGCCAGCAATGTGTATGGAGCTGCATGTTGGGCAGCCAAGAAACAGTATGTCCAAAAACTGAGTGTAGCAGGGATTTAACTGTTGAGTTGGATGAGGTGGAAAACTAGAAAGGATAGTGTAAGAAATCAACTTATTAAAGGAAGCCTAGGAATAACTCCAATAGGTGACTGAATGAGGGAAAGAAGACTAAAATGGTTTGGTCGTGCAGGGGAGCCAGGGGAAGACCAAAAATGATATGTTACATGTTGAAGGGTCTAGAAGAGCCAGGGGAAGACCAAAAAGGACGTGGGTTAAAGTAGTGAGAAATGATTTAAGGGCTCATAATTTAACACATGGTACTAAACAGAGTGGAATGGTGGACCAAGATTTTTGTAGCCAGAGTAGAAACTTTACAGGAGAAATGTACAAAGGGACAATGAGAGATGCTCAAGGATGCACACCTACCTGGAGCAACAAATACCAGCCAAAAGGAATGAAGGGAAGGGGGGATCAAGAACATCATAAAACTAACCACAAAATGTTAATTTTTAAAGACAACTTCCTGCAGAAGAAAAAGGAAAATAGTTAAACTGAATTTGTCACCATGATCAGCAATGAATTTTTGTGGTAGCATTATTCTGTAGTGTTTGAGGTGGCAGTGCTGTTGATCCTTAGCTCTGGTTCCTTTTCCATCCTCCTTGAAGGGGTTAAGGGTTTGAACTGATCTCTGTTTTAATCACTGTCAATTAATCTCAACCTCAGTCTTGCTAATGATATATATAAAGAGAGAATTCTTAAATGACCTAGTTCCATATGATTAACATGTGCTGAGTTTTATCACCAAATTCTGGCAGAACATTGGTAAAGAAGCGAGGGATAAATTAAAAATCTTACTACAAATACACAATGAAACTGGGCCAAATCTGGAGATCACCACTGCAGGGTTGGTTGAAGTTAAACTTCGGTGGCTGTTCTCGAGGCAATCCAAGACCATCTGGGTATGAGATTCTATCTATCAGAAACCATGAGGGAGATACCATTCTGATTTACTAGGGCTCAATAGGAGATTGTGACTCAATGAGGGCTGATTGGTCATGGGGCTACTGTTTGCTGGTTCTCTGGATTGTGTCTCATTAGAAGCAGTTCACTCCCAATTGGTTCAGGTGGATGATAACAGGAGAAGATGGGCCTTGGATACTATGACATCGCATTAAAGAGACTAGACATTTGGTTTCTATTATGAGATTATCTTTTCTGGTAGGTTCCTATATCTGCCAATTCAATGGAAGATATATTGGTACTTATCAAAAAAAAAATGGAAGATATATTGGCTAGGGAAGGGTTTAATAGGATTGTTCCCCTTCACTCAATCAAGTGTTTTTATTATTTTGGGTAAGGCCTATTCAGGGAATCATACGGATTGTTCCCCTTAATTATATCTCCACAAGAAAGTAGAGAACACCTTTTGATTCTGACTTGGAGGAATGAATGCATAGAACAAAAGAAAAGAACAATAGAGTGCTTAAAAAGAACTTTTCATTTGTATTTCTTTTACATCAAGTGTACAAGAATGAGAAGAAAAGAAAAGAAAATACAATTGAGAAACTCTACAACAATACATTTCTCTCTTTTCTTTTTGATGCAAGGAAGATTTCCTTCTCACTCCTTTCTTCACAATAATTTGTAGTCAATCAAATGAAATTCTGACTGTAGAAAACCTTAATCCTTTGGATTCTTGCATACAAGAAGGGAACCGTAGTCAATCGAATTGAATATTTGATTGTGGACGGTTTTTATCCCCCTGCTCTTCATTTTCATTTGAAGGGAACCATAATCAGCCCTTGAGAATTAGACTGTAGATGGTTTAATACCTAACTATGTCTTGAAGGAGGGACCATAATCAACCAAGTAAAGGCACCTGGTCGTAGATGGTTTATTTCCCTCTATTTCCTTTCTCAAAAGTGAAAATAAAAAAGAGAGAAAGAATGATACATAGCAGAAGACATATATAGGAAGTATTCACGGAGAGGACTTTCCTTTTCCTACTTGTATTAGTGAGACTTCTTTTCCTTCCCTGTCTTCCCTTGAGCACTTCTCTTTTCCTCCCTCTTTATCTTGGCTTTTCTTAAGAATCTCTTGAGACAATTTTCTCTGAAGAGGGGGTGTAAGTCTCTAGCTTCCCCTTAAGGAGCTTAAATAGGGTGTGGGGTAGGTTATGTAACTACCTCCTGGCTCCTCCTCCTAGGAGAAGGACACCTGTCCCTCCCACTTAAAGAGAGGGAACTCCCGTATGGGATACTTTTTTTATAGTTTTGATGATTTGGCTAGTAGACTAGCCAACTCACTTATTTGGGTTATTAAATTATTAAATATTATTCGGATTAAAAAAATGCCTTCAACAAGGGTCAAGTAATGCTATGGTTTGTTGATTAAAAAAATGCCTTCAACAAGGGTCAAGTAATGCTATGGTTTGTTGATCAGCTTCAAGATTTACTTTATCTGGATTTTTTTTTCTAGCATGAATTAGTTTATATGTTGTCTTAACAACTTGATAGTTGAAATATGAATGATGTACTTTGATCAATTTATTTTGCATATCAAGTTTAAATTTTTGTTTCTTAAGAAGGTTTTGTTATGAGATTTCTGTTTTCAACTCCTACTGTTAACTGTTTTACTCCTTGATGTTTATGTGATGAAGAATGTGGAGGGAAATCAGACTTCTAGCTGCATCTAAACCTGTCATTGCATCTATGTCTGATGTAGCGGCAAGTGGAGGATATTACATGGCAATGGCAACAGGAACTATTGTTGCAGAGAATCTAACATTAACTGGTTCAATTGGAGTTGTGACAGGTGAAAACAAAAGGCATTACCTTTTTTTATCCATAATATAATTCAAATGATGCTACATTATGCATTTTATAAAGGGGGAAACTTCACTAACTCCCACCTAACAAATTTTAACTTCACCATACAGTTGGGGAACAGTGACGGGGGAATTGTTGCCGATGCAAGGGGGGG